TTTCACAACACAACACTTTAATTCAAAAATAAGACTCCACACACATCGCATCAGTGGTCATGTGCAAGAAATATATTGTCAGCTTTATTAATTAACCAGTCAGGAGGTTTGGTGATCCCTCTTAATTATACACTGTTGTTGCTTCCCTTTAATAATTATTATTATTTGGTAAATCAGTTTTGGAACCTAATTGTTATTCATCTTATCTATTTTGTATTTATCAATCTTTTAAATTAGTTAGATTCTTCTTTTTGTGTTATTTGGCTTTTGTTCATCAGCTGAAATTTGTCATCCATCACTTTCTTTAATTTTGACACTTTACCTCTGACTGTCAGCCTGAGTCTTGTTTCCTCAGGTGTTTATCCAGACAGAGTAATTGTTTATATTGTTTATTTTATTTTACACTTTGTTGTTAATATTACTGTGTGCTTCACAATTGGCTGTGTGATTTAACTATACAATCATCACCTATACAGCTTCCAGGAAAAGTCTGTTACTTTCCTTTATTGTACATATCCTCTATTTGTTTTGCTTTAACAATTCTATGCAGAACTGTAAAAACTTAAATTAAGACTCAATAGTGCCTATTTCCCCTCATCTCTCCTGGTCAAATGCTTAAAACGGAGTGTGTATGAGTGTTTTCTGACTTCGTCCTCGTATGCTGAGGGCCGCTGCTGTCTATGAAGGGGGTCCCCAGATAGAGGGTTTTCCAAAACTAGTGTGTATAAGTGCGCACGTCTTCCTGCAAAACGGGGTCCTAGTGTGTCAGTATGCGACTGTGTGACTGAATGATTTAAATCATGTTTTATATGCTCAATACTTTATATTATCACACTCTGATGTGTCAGTGGCTAGAAAAAACACTGATACTGATGCATTATTTCTTTGAACAGTATAAAATTACAGAATCTCACGTCTTAATTTTTAGGCCATGTAAACAACTATTGTTTATAACAAACAATGGGGAATGCTTCACAAGAAGAAGAATATGAGGATCAAAAATAGCAGTTTTAATTGTTTTAAGTATAGACATTGTTTTTTCTGTACACAGTGTATTTTAGATGGGAGCAGGGACAGATCTTTACAACATTTTATTCCATATGCATTAACACAGCCAAAATGAGAAAAAGGAAATCTATGAAAAACCTAAAAATGACCCCATGATTAAAATGTAATCAGTATGCAAGTCTCACAGTTTGTCTTTAAACTCTAAAGGTTAGAATATCACAAAATGTATTTTGTTTTAACTTAAAAATTAAACAAGTCAACAATATATTTAAAACCATTTTGTGAAGTTATGAAAAGTAATGGAATGATGAATTATCACAGTTGATCAATACTTCACAGAGTTGTGCAGTAAGTTTAGTTTTATTATTCACTGCATTCCCTTTATAAGCTCAATGATTAATCTCCTTTTGTATAAACATCAATCACAGAAAAAGCAGAGCTTAAACAGCATATTTATCATTTTTCTAAACTCATACAGTAGATTATCAAAGACCATTTGATATAATACAGCCGGACTGCTGCCCAGCTGTGTTTTGAACTTTTCTCAGAACACACAGTGATGAAACTAACATCCTTCTTATTATCTGAGTTATACATTTGAAAAGATTCTTTAAATTTCTCAAACACCTTAGGAAAAGAAAAACAACCTTTTATAGATAAACACATAAAATATGAAAATAAGTAAGTACATACAAGCAAATCTTGATACATATGACATCTTAACTGCAGGTTCCCACAGCATCAACAGATCACACTTGTGCTTCAGACATTGCACAGACTGGTACACGGAGGCTGGAAGCAGTTTGTTATTTGGAAGTTCAGTCTGAATCAAGTTAACCCACACGGCAGTCTGTGGATGATTGTTTTTCTGTGAACTCTGGGAACATTGTTTCATAATCTGGAATTTTCTTGAAGAGCTCCATGACCTGTTTAGGGTTCTTGGAGTTGTTTTTGAATACATGGCAGCGATTTCCACATTCATTCACAATGTACCTGAGGTGAGACCGTTCATTTATGAAACTCTGAACATTGTCTTTTGCTTTCTCTCCATGTGTCAGCAGGACGATTGTGTTCTTCCTGATCCTGCAGTCAAGCTTCTTCTCCAGCCTCTCTAACATTCCCTTCTCACCTTCTGTAAACCGGCCCATCTGTATCACCAGTAACACCACATAGTGCCCTGACTGACAGTACTTCTTACACTCCTCTACTTGTGCCTGATCGTTTATTTCATCATTCAAGAAATCTGGGGTGTCGACAACTCTAACATCCCTGCCGAAAAGACTGTCCATCATTTTGAACTGACACTTGGTGGTGACAGTTGTGAAGCTCGGCCGGGATTCAAAAAGTTGCCTTGGTTCCCGCCAGATGTTCATAGCAGTCAGGATGGTGTTTCCAGATGCACTCTTTCCAGTCCCAGTTACTCCCAGCAAAATTATGTTGAAGGTATCTCCTGACATTGAACTGTTGCTCTCACCTGAAAGAAACAATTGGTCATAATTTCCAGTTATTTCATCAACAGTTACCAACAATTTCTCTTGGTAGCATCAGCTTTGAAAGGAATCAATGAAACTCTTAGACATGTTATTTTATTTTACCTCTGAATTTTTTAATTAGCAAAGGGATACTACAAAATTAAAATAACCGGAGTTTCTATCTTTTTAAAATTGGTTATATGTGTTGTGTTGTATCTTCTAAAGCTTATCAATGGTTTGTTCTGTTTCTGTTTCTGTATGTACATTGTGGGTACTTTGCAAGTTTGCTGGACCTGAGGAGAAGTGCAACATGCACATATTTTACAACAAAAACACACATTTGTACATTACAGAGGACAAACACTGAAGTATGCAGAACTTTGAAAAGAGTTACTGTCATTGTGCATCATGAATAACACAATAGTGATGTTCTACAAAACAAATACAAAATGGTGAAAAGTATTTGGTGTTACTCACATGATGAAGCAGTGTGGGGACCTGCAGAATTGAAATGTAAATGACACAGGTATCAGCAAATATAACTACAACATGAGTTATTTTTGATAAAAACACCAGCAGTGACCCAATACTTGTGACATTTTATATCACAGTTTACCAAAGAGGTCCAGTTAACTTCTACTAAAGTATTTACAATTCCTGTGACTTGGATGACTGTGAACCTACACAGACATGTCTCCTCTCCACTATCTTAACTTCAGACGTTTAAGTCAGTCAATTAAAAATCCTTTGGATTGTAGCGGAAAAGCTTCTACCTCTAATTGAATATAGGTTGTTAGTTAAATTGAATTTCATTAGAAACTGTCATAACTCAAAAAGACTGATTCAAACTGTTGTGTTAAATTTATTTGTTGTTTTTTAAATGAAGTTATTTTTAATGTATTTATTATTTTAATTGCTAATGATAGTATTCATAATACTACCTACTGTTCCAACATGTGTGTAGAACATAGACTCACCTGATCTCTCATCGTTATATGGAGGAGGGTCTTCATTTCTGAAGCAATAATCATAATATAGATTACAACAAAGTTATACCTAACAAAATATCACATATGCATCTGTTGACAGTGTAAATCCTGCCCTCTTTTGGAGCTAGCTTGTGTGTTCAGAGGATTTTCTCAGCAAAAGGAAATTTCTGCAAAGATAAATCATGATACTGCTTTACTTTGCAGGAAATCAAACTGGTATCTATTGCTGTATTGATTATTGACTGTATTGATATTATGACAAAAGTACACCTGAGGGGCACCGCTATAGCTCACCTGGTTGGGCTGGCGTCCCAAGTACAGGGCTACAGTCCCGATGTGGCGGTTATGAGTTCAAATCCCGCTCATGACCCTTTCCCACATGTCCTGCCCCCATTCTTCTCCCCCACCTTCCTGTCTCTCTCTCACTGCTCTATCAAATAAATGCACAAAGGCCAAAAAAATAACTTTGAAAAAAAAGAACAAAACTACACCTGAAAGAGAGCANAAAAATAACTTTGAAAAAAAAGAACAAAACTACACCTGAAAGAGAGCATCCCGTGGCTCGGTGGGTTGCGTGGTCGACCCCCATACAGGGGCTGAAAGTCCCTGACGCAGCGGCCGTGGTTTGAGTCCGGCCAGTGGTTCATTTGCTGCATGTCCTCCCTCGACTCTTCTCCCAAAATTCCCTGTCTCTCTCTCCACTGTCCCCTATAATAAAGGCAAAAAAGAAAAAAATGAAATAAAAATTATTTAAAAAATAAATAAAAAACTACACCTGAAATGTTCATCCTCTCATGAGACAGACAATTGCAAATTGCAATAACAAAGACAAACCTATTACTGGATATAACTCATTTATCTATGTAAGGAAAGAACAGGATGTGGTGTATTAATATCAACAAATAAAACCTCTTCAGAAATTTGACCATGTTGCTCTGGAAGTATGTGTTGGAGAAAATACCTGTTCAGTCTGAATCACTGAGGTTTTGGAGGAGCGCTTGTGGTCAACTTATGCATCTTCTGAACTATTTAATTTGGGGACCTAACAGATCTGATGAACTCAAAGACATTTGCTCTTTTCTACATAAATAAATCCCATTTTTGGGCAGCTGTGGCTCAGGTGATAGAGCGGTCGTCCTCTGATCACAAGGTTGGTGATTCAATCCCCCTCCCCTCCACAGTCAAAGTGTACTGGGGCAACACACTGAATCCAAAGTTGCTCCCAATGGCAGGCACCTTGCAAGGCAGCTCTGTATGAATGTGTGTGTGAATGAGAAAACATTGTAAAGCGCTTTGAGGTAGAAAAGCGCAATTTAAGTGCAGACCATTTACCATTACAACAAACCCCTCAATTAGTCTGCCATTGTTGTTGTTCCTCTGGGTATCAGTGACCATCAACCCATAAGTTGTGTCAGAAACACTAGAAGAACTACATCCTTTCCTGACACAACTCCACAGAAACCCACCGTTAGAAAATACTCAGAGGAACACAAGCTTCATAACATGAGACTTACTGTCCACATCAATTACACATAATAAATGTTGATGTCTTTACCTTGTCCTTTTGAACTCTTCTCTCCTTCTTTTCACGACTTCTTCACTGTAGCCTCTGTAGTCATAGTGGAATACCGGACGGGTTTTACACCACTTCATACAGTCATGGACCAGATCTTCACTGAGGGTTCCCAGCTTGATGTTGAACGTTTCCTTCAGCTGATCGAGTGACGTGTTGCTCATATACTTATCAAACATGACAACTAAGTGTTTTGTGACAGTTTGTCCAAAGATATCTTGAAGTTTCCTAATTTGAGAATCAATTTTTTCCACCTGAGCATTTTCTGAATCTATTGCCAGTATGAACAGATGAAGACCAGAATAACAATGTGCCATGAAGTCAATCACCTGCTGGTCTGGATACCGACAGTCCTCATCACAGAAATCACGAGTACTGAGGATTCTGAATGAGCGGCTCTTTAGAACAACAAAGTCATTTAATGTTTTGACAGAACCATTGTCATTACTGAGGATGAGTTGTTGAATCTTGTTGTTAAACTCAGGGTTCTTCCAAAGCAGAGCGATGGTGAACTTCTCTGGATCTTCTGTTGAAACAATAATGTTATATAACTCTTAGTATTCTATAAAATGTGGTTGCAATTTCACCTGCCACTGATCACCTTTTGTTTTTTAATTCTAATGCACAGGTCTCAGTCTAGTTTATAGATAGATAACCATGAACACATGTCCACTCTGTATCCTCTGCCTTGTCTGCTTCAGGAAAACAGTCAGAGAAACAATATTTTACAATCTTTTCTGACAAAACTGAACTTTTTGTAGATTGTTTCTAGATATTTAAATGCAGTAAACCATGTCTGTATGTTCCTGAAAGGAAATGAATGTTTTCATTAGTAGATTCTGTGACAAGTGGTTCTTGTGAAAACCAGAAAAAAAAAAGACTCGAGTTTCCTGTTTGTATAATAAAGACAAAAATATAATATTAATACTACATAATAATTAGAACTTAGAAATCAGAGGAGAAGCTAATTTCTTCATTAAACAGGTAAAGTAATAATAAAAGAATATAAACTCTTTTACCTGTTTTTGCTCAATCAAGTGACTTTGGGATAAGCAGTTAATTGATTTAACAGGAGAATTTATACACATTTACCAAGATTAGGTGTTGAGTTAATCAAGAACACAGAGTAATGAACATATTAATGTAGTTACACATCACAATATAACTAAACTAAACACTTAGAATACTTTATAACATGAAAAACTTGAACACACTCAAAAAAGAAGTTGCACAAAAATACAGTTTCCTCCTAAATGTTAATATTAAGGTTGAATATCAAAACTAATGTGACTAATCTGTTTCTGACTAACTTCTGGAGTCCTGAACCCAAGGCTAAGAAAGTCCCAACACAAGATTTCAAGAAGAATTTTAATGTGTGATTTTTCAATATTAAACACAGTCTGTCATCTTTACAGAATGTTTAGTGCTGTAGTAGATCATAGATGTAGCAGGCCTTGGTAAGGAGGAAAAAACTCAGTAAATCAGAGTCACTCACGTGAAGGTTTGGTAGAACTCATCTCGTCAGCTGCCTAAAGACCAACAAACAGTGTGCAGGTGTCACAAGAGTCTCTGAATCAGCTTTGATCAGACGGACTCTGACTGAAATACTCTGAGAGATTGGACCCACCCTGTGGGTGGAGCGCTGAAAACTGCTTCATGCCACAACATTGGAGAGCTGTGCTTCTGTTCATTCTCCAGAAATCAAGAGCAGAGATGGGAAACACATCCTCAATCCGCGATGATGAGGCAGGATCTTTTATGTAGACTCTCTCTGTTCTCTTTATACTGCAGTCAGCATTCAGTAACTATCACACCTGACTTTATGATTGATTTTATTTCCATCCAAGAACTTCATCAGGTCTAAACAGAGTGTGTGACTTTCTGCAGGTCCTCCTCTGAAGATTGTGATGATTGGGAAAACTGGTGTTGGGAAGAGTGCCAGTGGTAACACCATCTTGGGAAGAAATCAAGAAATCTTTAAGTCCCTTGAGAGTGCAGAGTCCTGTGAGAGAGAAAGAGTTCAGTGCTCCAGAGCGATCCATGTGGTCGACACTCCTGGAATTCTGGATACGTCTAAAAGTGCAGAACACATAAAGAAAGAGATCGCAAAATGCATCCACATGTCCTCTCCAGGCCCTCACGTCTTCCTGCTGATCCTTCAGATCAGCAGGTTCACCAGAGAAGAAGAAAACTGTGTGCAGGCCCTGGAGAAGATGTTTGGACCGAAGTCATCGAACTACATGATCGTCTTGTTCACTCATGGTGACAAGCTGAGTCAGAAGGGCACAACCAAACGTGACTATCTGCTAACCAGCCATGTGAAGCTCACAGAGCTGCTGAACAGGTGTGGCAACAGGTTTCATGTCTTCAACAACAAGAACAAGAACAGAACTCAAGTGGTGGAGCTGATCCAGAAGATTGATGAGATGGTGGCAGCAAACGGAGGATCGTACTACAGCGATGAAATGTTTGAAGAGGCTCAGAGGAGTCTTCAGCAGAGTGAAGACAAAGACACAGCAGAGCCACTGTATCACAACTTGTCCTTCATGGATGAGCTGCTGGAAAGAGTAATCCTGTTTCAATCCACACTGGCTGATGTCTCAGTGGATGAAGATGACCAGGACCCATGATCCTTCATTTGACTCCATGATGTGGCCTTAATGTGATGTGAATAATCCTAAATTCTTTTGTACAGTCACAGTGGGTTTAGACACAAACATCATTATCACTTGTCAACCAATAAGATATGTGTGATGAAAATTATTAAATCATTAATGTTGTATATAGTCCATGCACACAATAATTCAGATATTTTGCAAGATAAAGAGTTAAAGCATTAAAGATTCTATTGTTGTAATTGTTTTTTTTTTTTTTTTGTTGGTTTGTTTGTTTTTGTTTTTGTTTTTTGTTTTTTTTTTTACTTTTGGTGTCAATGCTTAATAGCAGATTAAATTATTATACAGTGAAGAACAGGGTGTGGGTGGATTCCACCCTGAATCTTGATCTTCAAGCTCATTTCTGAAGTCAAACACAACCAAAATTGTCAGAAACTGTTGTCTGTACGTGTAAGACATTTCCTTTTTTTCTCCGTAAATAAAGCTGAGGCATGTTTGGTGACTTAAGGTCTGAGGCTAATCTGTTGTTTCACACAGTGAAGGTGAAGTGATATTCCAGGACTGAACTCTCTCCTGTTGTTCACTGTAGGTGTTTGTTGACTTTGTTGTTTGGAGTGATATTTGTTGCTGTGATGTTTGTGTGTATTTTGATCAGATTTGTTTGTATGTTGGTATGCATTCACATGTTAAATGTAAAATATAAAGATCTATTTCTAAGTGGTTAGTAATTCATGTTTGTAATTTTATTTTATATGAAATATTTATATATATATCTTGTTTTTTTGACAGATTTATTGCAAGTAAACTCCGTGCTTTACAGTGAAATCAAAATAGAATAGAATAGAATAGAATAGAATAGAATAGAATAGAATAGAATGCTTTATTGTCATCAAACATGGTGCATGACGAAATTTAAGATAGCTGCCATATTAAGGTGCATTGAAAATATAAACATAATAGACATAATAATGAAAACAATATACAAGTAACTATGGCAGAAGAGAAACAAACCAGTATAATATTTACAACCAAGATCAGTTTCAGAAGACCCGATATTGCCCATGAGACAGGAATTGCACAGATGAGAGAATGATAAATAGGTAAATAAATAAATAAATAAATATACAGGGTGGACATTAAGGTAGCAGTTTGTGTGAATGTGTGTGTTTATGCTGTGTTCAGGAGCCTGATGGCCCATGGGTAGAAACTGTTCTTTAGTCTGTTGGTCCTGCCTTTGTGTGATCTGAATCTCCTTCCTGACGGCAGCAGGTTGAACAAGTGCTGTCCAGGGTGAGATATGTCAGCTATGGCTTTCTTTGCTCTGCTGAGGCAGCATGAGCTGGCAATGTTCTCTGGGGGGGACAGAGGGCAGCCAATGATCTTTTCTGCAATTCTGGTCACCCTCTGCAGGGCCCTCCTGTCTGCAGCAGAGCAAGCAGCAAACCAAGCAGTCACACAGTACATCAGCACTGGTTCTATGGTGGCTCTGTATAAGGACACCTGCAGCCTCTCCTCTAGATGGTTTCTACGTAGCACACGATAAATATAGAAACAAGCATAAACATGAGAAGCTAACAGACAAAATGTGGATAAAATAATGTAAACATGAATAAAATGCAGAATGTGAATCCCTAAAGCATAGACCCAGTGTATGCCAGAATAACTGCAAACTGTGTAACTGACAGAGCAAAAAGTGAAACTAAAAGAGACCAGAGCATTCTTCTCTAAATATCATATGTCTTCATGCAGGTGCTTGTTTTATGTGATCACTGGCTGTGATCTTTGTTCTGTTGTCAGTGGAATCATTCCTTCAATGGGCAGGAGGAATGATTTCTTTGTTCACTGTCCTCATGTGAACCTATAACAACTACAGATAAACCTAGAAACAGTTGGTGTAACCTGTCAGTCTGGTCTGGTCACAGTGACTGATGAACAAAGGGAAACGATGGCAGTGATTAGATAAATGATGTACCCGCATGAAGACAGATGTTATCTAGAAAAGATTTTGGTCTCTTTTAGTTTTTCTTTTTGTTCTCTTAGGGACATAGCTAGTTTGTAGTTCGTTTCACATGCAAAATTAGTGGTTAGTTTGTCAACAATGCATATAAGAAATAGATCTTTTTAAAAATTTTATTTTACACTTCATATGTGAACTATAAAACTAATCTTGAAGTGACTACAGCCCTGTGTCATATCATTTACATGTGAACATCTAAACTGTATCTTCTTGCAGTAATCAGATTACTTTCTAGTTGAACAGTAGCATATTTGCTAATCTTGAACATATTATATCATTTACAGGCTGTATATGACCAGAGATGACCAAACTTTGGTCCAGAAGACAACCCAGTCATGAACAAAAGTTGACATACACTTGTACAGACCATGTATATCATGACCGTCCTGAGCTTCCAACGACTTGCATAACTCAGAATTTTCTGGGACGGAATCACTGAAACACATGAATCTCTGTCACAAACAGACAATCATGCATTTTGGTTCTTTTATAGATTCATTAAAGGTCTTCTGGAAATATGACTAAACCTGCTGGGTCAACAATATACATACAGCAACTTAAATTATTAGTTTTGGTCATGTAGAAAGTTGTGTTGATCAAATTGTCGTAGTGACGTGGCCTCTTGACTTCTCCTGAGTGATTCTGATTGACTCCAGCTGCTGACTCCTCTGATCCAGTTTCAACAGAACCATCTGATCCACTCATTAGACTCAAACCCTACAGTGGGAAAGTCTGAGGAGCTCAGCAAAGATCTGAAAAAACAAATCACTGACTTTAGCGAGTCCGAAAGTCACTTGGAGCCATTTCAGAGCAGCTTCAGAACCAGAACCATCAGTGTGTCAGAATAAAGTTCATGGTCCAGTTGTGTTACTGCCACCATCAGGAAGGAAACACAAACTAGCAGCTGCTGCTGAGAGACGACTGGTCAGGATGGTCCAGAGTCAACCAGGAACCAGCAGGAAGCAGCTCTGGATGGACCAGAAGCTGCTGGAACACAGCTGTCAGTGTCCACAGGGTCTGACATGGAAAATCTTAAATCGTTTATGTCATATATCGTCGACACATGTAATAATTTTAATATTTTGGGAGATAAAGGGTTAAAGCATTAAAGATTCTGTTGTTGTAATTGTTTTTTGTTGTTGTTTTTTTTAACTTTTGGTGTCAATGCTTAATAGCAGATTAAATTTTCATCGTGTGAAAAACAGGGTGTGAGTGGATGCCACCCTGAATCTTGATTTTCAAGCTTATTTTTAAAGTCAAACACAACCAAACTTTTCAGAAACCGTTGTGTTTTGGAGTCTGTACGTGTAAGAAATGTTCTTTTTTTCTCCTTTAATAAAGCTGAGACATGTTCAGCAACTTAAGGTCTGAGAGTGACATGCCCTCTACCTTTGGCTCCACTTAGTGAAGCACTTTTTGTATTGCTTCACCTTTTCCTGTGCATCAAGCCGGAGGGACAAGTAACCAGGTGTTCTGTATCACAGCTGCGGCGAGGCGTGGCTTGCCATTCTCTCTCCAGACCCGCATGCAGTACTTAAGACGCCAGCAAGCCACAAGTCGATGCTGGATCGTTGTAAAACCCATGTTAGTCTTGCTCTCGTTCGTATGCTCTGTTTGGTAATTTTGATTTCTGTTCTCACTCTGTTCTCCTGTGCTTCAGTTTCGCCACGTTCACTGCCAACCCGTGATCCATTCTCCGTTCCTGATTCCCCTCCGCTGGATTCCTCTGGCTTCAGTCCTCCATATCCTCTGTGTCCCTCTGCTGAAGTCACCTGATCCACCTCTGTCTCCTCCGGCTCCCTCTCTCTCTTTCCATATTGTAGTAAGCCTCGTCTCTCGCCTACTGAACTTGTAGTATTATTGATAGGTTTATATTCGTTGCAGTAAGTTTTTGATTTGTAAGTATAGTTCGTCGTCCTTTAGAGGACGTTTAGTGAAATCTCTTGTAAGTATTTGTTAGTCGTAGTTTATGTCGCTGGTCCGTTTGGGAACCTTTGTTCTCATTTGAATTATTGTTTGTAAATAACGTGTGCTTCATTGTATTCAACGTCTTGGTGGTCGAGTCTTTTGTCTGCACCTGAGCCTTTGTTTGCCAAACCGTGACAGAAGCTTGTCTTTTGTTTCACACAGGTCATGTAATAATCATGCACACAATTTATTACACTTTAATATGATTTAAAAGTGTTTTGGTTTTGTGTGTTTGTGCTGCAAACATGGTGGTGTTTTCATTTTTACACCATCTAGACATACATCTTTCACTGACCAGTTAAAGTATATAGGATGAGATGAAGCACTGATCAGCTGTGAATGTGATGTGATTCTGGTCTCTGTAATTATCCACATTTCTGATTCGTTGTAAATTTTCATACTTTACAATCATAACCCTTCCCTTGCATTTGGCAAAGCCATTTAATTTTATAAACCTCTTTAATTAAAGGTTACATCAACTAAGGTGTTACGGCCGCCACCGTATTCTGAGGAACTCCACCTCCCTCCGAAGGTGTGTGTGTCACTGCACTCAGCCCTCAGGTCACTCTGCAGCAGGAACTGATTGTGCTGATCTGATTCCATCCACCTGTGTTGAAGAAGGCCCATCTACCAATCTACCAGGAGGATATAAAATGCCAGCAACCAGCATTCCACAGTGAGCTGTTGCCAGCCCCACTCATGTGCCTCTTTGTGTTTGATGATTGTTGTACTTTCGTGAACTTGCTGAGGCACTAGATTCTGTTTGAGAATACTGCATCCACCTTAGATTGGCTGATAGCTTCACTAGCATTTGAGTGCTGTTCTGATTGTATTTTTGTTATTAGATTGGATTGGATCGTTTTTATTTCATTTTTCTGCATAATAGCAATTGTAAACTCTAGGTGAGTCTCCTTTTGTTCTCGTTTTCACAGCACTCATTTAGTCTTTATTTGCCTCACTTTTGTGTTTATCGTTAAATCTTAACTTTTGTTAATAAATAACTTAAACACCTCACAACATCAGGGTTTTATATCACTTCCCTTTTCCCCAGCGAGCTGGTCGTAGTCGTAACAATACTCAAATTCAGAACCTTTACAAAAACTTCATATTTATCAATTTCAGCTTCACAAACTGGAAAATCCTGCATGGACGTCTGCTATTTACATACAAATCTGTGAGAAAAAAAACAAAATCAAAAGGATTTTTCTGGGCTTTGACTGGTGGACTTGTCATGACCCCCCAGCCACAGCCCTTTCCAGCCCTGCTTGCAGCC